TTTAACTTTTTTCCATTGAAAAAATTAAGGCAAAAAGAAAGGATTTAATTTAATTTTTGTTCTCTTGTTTAGCATTAATAATAGTGGCGTACATGAGACTTCTCGAAGTTTGTAAACATAGTTTATATTTTCAAACTAGATCGACTACAAGTCATAACTTTTCTGCCACTGAAAGCTAAATGTTATAAATAATGCTTAGGTGGCGAGTTCGAAAATAGAGGAAGGCAACGTTCGAACGCTCAGGACAACTTAAGGGCCGCTTTGCAGATACCGGCTGAAGAAGATGATGAATATAATGATATTGAACTCGCGGACATAGTAGGAGATCGGCGATTCAGGGGCAGGCGCCGAAGTCGTGGACGTGCTCGCGGAAGGGGACAAGTACGTGCACACGGACGCAGGCACACCGGTAGGTGCCATATTTTTGAATACTATTATATAATGACTTGAAAACCGTAAGATTCGTTTTTTAATTTTTATTTTCGTATTATTACATCAGAAAACAATTAATCAAATGATGAGCATGAGCCAGGAGTTCAGGAGAATGCAGGGCGACGAGGTCGCGCACGAAGACGTGGTCGAAGGCGTGGCCGTGGTCGAGGCCGAGGACGCCCTCTTAATCAGGGTTTGTCATAATTTCTTTTAACAAAAAATCGAGTCGAAATATTTTTTGTTTTTTGCTTGTTATGTAATTAAATAATTCACTATTTTTTGTCACTGAGGTGCCCTTGATGAGCATAATCCACTGGACGATGAACCAGAAGACGTACCTGTGCCCGAGGCCGATCAAGACCAAGGACTCGCGCACCCATTTCTTCGTCAAAATGAAGAAAGCGATGACGAAGATATCGCGGATCAGCGGCAGGTACCAGCTCCTCAGCATGGTTTGCTGGGCGATATCAATGCCGATGACTATCACCCAGAGGACGTGCCTGTACCCGAGGCCGATCAAGGCCAAGGACTCGCGCACCCTTTTCTTCATCAAAATGAAGACAACGATGACGAAGACAACGCGGGCCAGCGATCGGCTTATTCCTCGTGATGACTTATTGGCCGACATGGACGTCGATATTGATGTCTTGGAAGAAGTGCCACAACCCGAAATCCATCAACGTCAGAGACCTGTGGAACCCGTACCCTCGGATAATGCCATGCATATCGATGAGGAGCATCTTCTACAAGATATGCTTCGTCTTCAGGCAAATAATTTCAATATTAACGACAATGAAGGTAATAATATTTTGATAAACTTAATTAAATAATGATATTCCATTGATCCGTTTGAAAATTAATAACTGATTATAAACTTTCATAGATCGTACCCACAACTCAGAGCAGCCTCCTAGAAACGACATACAGCCCGCAGAGGACGAGGTTAAGCAAATAAAAATAAATTAAGTTTGTTTTTTAATGTTTTTAAAATTCAACTTTTTATTTCAATAGACAAGCCCAAATAATAAAACCCACCGGAAGAATCAAAAGCAGCGCAATAAAAGGAAACGAGCGCACAGGCGAGCTGGGAACGTTGCTGGAAAAGTAATGCGTAACAGGCGTAAACGGTAAAATAAGAAGAACTTAGCAGAGGCAGCAGGTAGTGACGTAATTTTTATTTGGAACACCGTGTCAGTAGTGCAACTTTTAACTTTATGCTCTGCTTATTGAAATAAACCGTAAGTCGAAAGGAAAAAATATATAAAACAAATGAAAATGCAGGGAACGATTCAGAAACGCCGCCGTGCACGTGACCCTCGACAGTCTCTTAAGTGAGATGCGTCGAGCAAGAAGGCGCTACAACCCACCCATCCCCCCGACGCTCGAAGAATGGGGTGAATCATTAGCTAACCAACCAGAACTTCAAAATATTTACCGCGATACGGTAACTTCAAACGACGGAGGGTGTGCTGTCATTTTTATACATCCCTCTATGATCGAGCCTTTAAAAAACTGCACTCAGTTATATGCGGATGCAACGTTCAAGGTAGTATCTTTACCAATGTTACAAACAATTGCTCGTTTCAGATAATTTCATATTAATACATTGAACCTTAATTGTTTACAGATCGTACCTAGTTACCCTGCCGATATACAACAATTGTTCACGGTGCACATAAGGCGACTCGACTCTGTATGTGTATTGAAGTGAAACAAATTAAATTTCGGTTATTTTTTTTTTTTTTTTTTTTCTAATCATATGAATCAAATTATTTTTTGTAGGGCTTCCCCGCTATATGGGTCTTTTGTACTCACAAAACAATCGCCATGTACCACGGCAATTTGGCAAGGAATATTGCGCATCGTGCCGGAATTAAGATTAATTCAAGCAATCATGCATGACTTTGAGGCAGCGTCCGTTAATGCCGCGAGGACAGAGTTTCCGGATGCTAGNCTATATGGGTCTTTTGTACTCACAAAACAATCGCCATGTACACGGCAATTTGGCAAGGAATATTGCGCATCGTGCCGGAATTAAGATTAATTCAAGCAATCATGCATGACTTTGAGGCAGCGTCCGTTAATGCCGCGAGGACAGAGTTTCCGGATGCTAGATTGTCGGGGTGTACCTTTCATCTAAAGCAAGTTAGTCAATGTTTTTAGTTTTTATGTATAAATGAAAGGAAGTACAATTGCATAGTAGCGTTAAAATCGTTTTTACGTACGTGGTTTTGACCTTGTTAGTCCAAGTTATAGAGTAGACTGAAGTACTAAAAAATAGTTATATCTTACCACCCCTTCAATTTTTAAGGATTTCTCCCCATGCAAAATTCTTATGTAGTATCGTAATAATGTAACGTATTTGTCTTTGAATATAGGCACTTATTCGATTTTGGTGTGACGTCGTCCGCATGCCCCCCGACACGCATGTCGATATTTTAGAAGCTGAGCTCATCAATAACGGAGTCAATCGACTCACAGCCATGGTCGACGATTTGGGGGATGATGCCGACATCGAACGTGTCGAACATTTCGTTCGATATATAAGGTGTGTGTGGCTGCCCCTAGCCGATGTAATATCTGTATTTGGTGTTGTAGTTCGCACAACGGATTTGTGCGAGAACTTTCATCGGCATACGCATAGGATATTCCATAACCATCCTCCAGCATACCAATTTATAAGTACTATCGGTTTTTATTTTAAGCAACGCCGATGATCGTATTCACGAAGACTTTTTCTACTAACGAACGTCAAATAATGAATTTACGCTTTGGTTTCCTGGCTCGACCTACGTCATGTCTTTTTTCCATAAATGCATTAACGTTGACAATCAGTTAAAAAATTTTTAGTTGCGAAATTATTAAAAATAAGTATTAAAAAAGTCAGCGCGTCTTTTTTAATGCAATAGCCAATAGAGAAATATACCTCGTAGATATACAGAAAGTAAGAAAGAATGTACAAACGAATAATTGTTCCAGCTCGTATGCTCGAGATGATGACCAACTATGAATTGAACTTGGGACGTATTGAAAATGGGCAGGTCCTACGCTCCATTCGAAGTGCCGAAGAAATACAAAAGGACTCGTATTGCTCCGTCAACAGGATCAAGTCGAAAACGGACGGTATATTTTGAATTATTTTATATTATATAATATTTTGGATCTAGTGCCGATTTCCTTCGATTATCACTATTGAATCACAACTATCTGGCGACTTTTTATTTATTTATTTTTGGTTTCGTTTAGAATCAGCGTTTCTGAATTTATGGATTTTGCCGTTGCACAACGCAGGCTCCAGAATGGTCCACGTTGTACGTAAATTTGACGTGTGATGACGTTTAATAAAAAATAAAAAAAAGAATTGAAGTCTAACTTTCTATTTTTTCGTAGTACCATTTGAAGCGCAGCGCCTCGCTTTTCAGCACCTTAACAATCAAGCGGAAGGTGTGGAAGCTCGACAACTGGTGCAGGAATTGCAGCGCGTCTACGTACGAGATCCCGGGGCCGGTTAGATATGCCTTTAAAAATTTAATCGTAAAAAAAAAATTTTTTTAACTTTTTTCCATTGAAAAAATTAAGGCAAAAAGAAAGGATTTAATTTAATTTTTGTTCTCTTGTTTAGCATTAATAATAGTGGCGTACATGAGACTTCTCGAAGTTTGTAAACATAGTTTATATTTTCAAACTAGATCGACTACAAGTCATAACTTTTCTGCCACTGAAAGCTAAATGTTATAAATAATGCTTAGGTGGCGAGTTCGAAAATAGAGGAAGGCAACGTTCGAACGCTCAGGACAACTTAAGGGCCGCTTTGCAGATACCGGCTGAAGAAGATGATGAATATAATGATATTGAACTCGCGGACATAGTAGGAGATCGGCGATTCAGGGGCAGGCGCCGAAGTCGTGGACGTGCTCGCGGAAGGGGACAAGTACGTGCACACGGACGCAGGCACACCGGTAGGTGCCATATTTTTGAATACTATTATATAATGACTTGAAAACCGTAAGATTCGTTTTTTAATTTTTATTTTCGTATTATTACATCAGAAAACAATTAATCAAATGATGAGCATGAGCCAGGAGTTCAGGAGAATGCAGGGCGACGAGGTCGCGCACGAAGACGTGGTCGAAGGCGTGGCCGTGGTCGAGGCCGAGGACGCCCTCTTAATCAGGGTTTGTCATAATTTCTTTTAACAAAAAATCGAGTCGAAATATTTTTTGTTTTTTGCTTGTTATGTAATTAAATAATTCACTATTTTTTGTCACTGAGGTGCCCTTGATGAGCATAATCCACTGGACGATGAACCAGAAGACGTACCTGTGCCCGAGGCCGATCAAGACCAAGGACTCGCGCACCCATTTCTTCGTCAAAATGAAGAAAGCGATGACGAAGATATCGCGGATCAGCGGCAGGTACCAGCTCCTCAGCATGGTTTGCTGGGCGATATCAATGCCGATGACTATCACCCAGAGGACGTGCCTGTACCCGAGGCCGATCAAGGCCAAGGACTCGCGCACCCTTTTCTTCATCAAAATGAAGACAACGATGACGAAGACAACGCGGGCCAGCGATCGGCTTATTCCTCGTGATGACTTATTGGCCGACATGGACGTCGATATTGATGTCTTGGAAGAAGTGCCACAACCCGAAATCCATCAACGTCAGAGACCTGTGGAACCCGTACCCTCGGATAATGCCATGCATATCGATGAGGAGCATCTTCTACAAGATATGCTTCGTCTTCAGGCAAATAATTTCAATATTAACGACAATGAAGGTAATAATATTTTGATAAACTTAATTAAATAATGATATTCCATTGATCCGTTTGAAAATTAATAACTGATTATAAACTTTCATAGATCGTACCCACAACTCAGAGCAGCCTCCTAGAAACGACATACAGCCCGCAGAGGACGAGGTTAAGCAAATAAAAATAAATTAAGTTTGTTTTTTAATGTTTTTAAAATTCAACTTTTTATTTCAATAGACAAGCCCAAATAATAAAACCCACCGGAAGAATCAAAAGCAGCGCAATAAAAGGAAACGAGCGCACAGGCGAGCTGGGAACGTTGCTGGAAAAGTAATGCGTAACAGGCGTAAACGGTAAAATAAGAAGAACTTAGCAGAGGCAGCAGGTAGTGACGTAATTTTTATTTGGAACACCGTGTCAGTAGTGCAACTTTTAACTTTATGCTCTGCTTATTGAAATAAATAATTTTTTATGAAAATATTCTATAAAAAAAAAATTCAAGTTGATTTATCTTTACTTTTGTAATGTTAATTTTGTTAAAAGTTAAACATTATTGAAGGTGTTCCAGTAGAGTCTCAAAATCGTATGCTCGTTAAATGTATATAAACTAAATCCTTATAATTTATAAAAATAATAGTAATTTGTCATCATTTGTAAAACACTCTTGTACAAGTACTTAACGATTATTTGTCGGTTAACTTTCACTAAAAAAATGAGCAAACGTTTTTCTATCGTTGCTACTACTAAAGGGCAATAATCATAAAACAAATTTTTTATCACTGTTTCGACATAATTTTGCAAATTGATCTTTGGTTACTTTTTATTTTATTTTTATA